TTATATTTAATAAACACTACAAAAACAACAAGAAACGAGGTTACTTGTCAAGTGTAACATCGAAACATTTTCCGACAACTTGAGTATCATTGCAAAATTTTTTTGATATACATTTGTATGCATAGTGATCATAGAATGTTAACAAGAATGTAAATGTTGCTATGATAAAAACAATATGCATAATAACTTCTTGTGACCATTCTTTACGAAACGGATTTCGTATCACCAGTATACGTTCAACAGATACTGCAACATAAATCCTGAAAATTTTCCTTACAAATACATGCTGTTTTTTTTCCAGTTACACATAAATATGAGATATTTTTAGCGACAAACACTGGTAAAAATCCTTTTTTAATTACTTTATAAGGTATTTTTTTTGCCAGTTTAGTACTACGATGAAGCCAAAAGCTTGTCTGGCAAAAAAAACCAATAGACGAAAAAAATAGTAACAGCTAATTATTTACACGTTTTTCGAACTCATTTTTCTTTCTTTTTTGCCAATAATCATTTGCAATTTTCCACATTATCAACTTCATTTTTAAATGCACTACACAAAAGCTATAAGTCTTAGTGTCTCGATGAAATAGAGCAAAACAAATAATTTGTTATAGAAATAATAGTAGTTGAAAACAGATAACAGCTGAAGATAAATACAAAAAACTACTGATCTTTCTTTGTATTTTCATCTATTCAAAAAACAAGAGCAGTATAAAAACTGTGTTAGGTGTACGTATAAGTGAAAAATTGCACAGTTTTACACCAGAAAATAAAACTTTCTCATCTTCCGTATACAATGTACGGTAATCGCTGATAAAGTTACCAAAGAGAAAAAATTGTTGCAAAGCAAAAAAAAAAAAAATAAAACCAATTTCTTATCCTGCCTTATTTTCAATTTAACCATTTTAAACGTTTAGGCACTTTTTGTTTATTATTTCTTTTTATCAGCTTTTTTGAAAAATTAAAGAAAAAGTCAAAAATAAAAAAAAAAATAAAAAAATAAAAATAAACGAGAAAACAGTGATTTTTTCCTGCTTTTTTTTTTTTTCTGTTTTTTATTTAAGAGAAGCCTTTATGCAGATGCATTAATAAATCTTCAACAGATTATTGTCAGCTGACAGATCAGTAAAGATGATCGAAAAGGTATTTCCTAACATTTTTTTGACATGTTTTTTCCATTCTAAAATTTGACCCGTACAGTTTAGAGAGACGAATAACAACAGAAAAAAAATTTTTTTTCTTTAAAAAAAAAGTAAGAGCTTACTTAGCTTAAAATGAAAACTAGAACTGCGCAGAAAACATAGCAGTAAGCATAAATTACTGAAAACTTTTTAGTAAATCAAAAAAAAAAATTTTTTTTCAATAAATCTTTGAATCAGTTCTTCTATCTCAGAATTCATAGTTGTTTCTGACTATCTATTATCATTGTCATTATTCTTATGGTTATTTTCACTGTTTTCACCAACTCTGTCATTATTTTTGTTCCCAGTTATTCAGTGTCTTCCATTTTTAAATTCTATGTAAAATTGCAATAAATAAAAGTAATCTTTTTATACTTTCTTTGTTTTATTCATTAGAAGAAACAAATTTATCAATAACTCAATTTCCTTTTTTATTTCTATGTTTGTTAATTGTCTGTTTCCACTCCTTCCACTTTTCTCACTTTATTTAGGTCTCTCGTAAAAATTTCTTTCCTTGATGCAATCCTTTACAAAATTTTAATGTATTAATGTGTATTCTGCTGTATTCGGAAAACGCGATTTAAGATAAAACGGAAACTGAAACCGAGGCAGAATAAAAAAAGAAAGAGTAAAAAAAAAAAAA